CAGTATTTTTTATTTTAATATTGATATTTTTTCACAACCGTTCGTCACAATGTGACGATGTTGTAGACTTCACAATATGAAATCTTAAGGAGGATACGCTGGTTACCTAGACAGCAAATCACATCTCTCTACACTCCTTGGTAACCCACGGGAACATCATGTGTCGATGATACATCTTGGCACCAGTGGCGTCACATGCAAGGGCGTCATTTGGATAGGGCACGGGAAGCATTTGCCCCCACCCTTAATTTACAGGTTGACTGAGGTTGATTAAAATTGCTATGTGCTGTGGCGTCTCCAGGAAATAAACAACTCAACAAGCGGGCTAAGTTTTGCCCCCCCCCCCCCGGGGGAACAAAAAACCCCCCCCTTAATTTACAGGTTGACTGAGGTTGATTAAAATTGTTATGTGCTGTGGCGTCTCCAGGAAAAAAACAACTCAACAAGCGGGCTAAGTTTTGCCCCCCCCCCCCCGGGTGAACAAAAAATGAAATGACGTTCCTGATACCAGGAGTTTATTCTCTTATATTCCATGAGTTGCCATCCACAGTTAGTGAGACCCACCTAACGGGGTGTTGGTAGCGTATTTGCTTGTCTATTCAAAAGCTTGAGTTAAAATCAGTTTAGACAACTCGGCCACCTGCAAACAAGGAATTACACTAGGTTAAATAGTATATTTGGAGTCTGTAAAAAAGTTAAACGATTTGTGTTAGCGAAAAATTATTTTTACGTAAAACCCTATTTAAAAAATATAAATAAGTTTTGTCATTATGTAGAACTAATTATATATATTATATTTATAACCCTGTTCATTGTTTCTGATTGATTTATAGTAAAAGTGTTAAGCTTCAACCATAAATTATAATTACGAAATAAGAGTTCTTACTTATTTCAGTAAAAAAAAATAATCCTAAGACTTTTAAACTTGACCAACCACTGCTTAAAAATTAAAATAAACAATTAAGTCTATTAAAAAATAATGTCTTCACTAACTCTTAACGGTTAACGTAAATAAATAAAACTATTTATGCATTTTTACATCTTTGTGAAGAAATTCATCCGTTAAGACTTAAGATGTTTTTAAACGTTATTTATATTTATTTTTTAAAGTACAGTTGTTCATTGTGTGTATTACGATCAAAATAGTTTTATTCACATACTGTTTTTCATGCCATAGATGTCACTGTTTCTGTACATAGCTTGGTTTCGTTTTCATCTGCCCATGGCAAATAGTAAAGGCCTAGTCGACAATCATCAATGTTTACTTTTTTATGACTTCACTTCAACATACCCACTATTTTACGTTAATGCTTTCATTCCACCAGAAAATAATAATTTATGCGTCATCACATATTAAACAACTCTTAAGTTTTAAAAAAGGTTTATATTTAACACATTTGTTTAGCCTACTCTTACTATCATGTCATATGAAAATATGTTGCTTTAAAGACCGTATCACACAACTACAACTAACCAAATTATTGTCTCAAATTTTTAGACAAGTTAAAATTTCAGATAATACATTTTCATTGTAGTTCCACAGATGATATAATTAATACTAATTTGAATGTATTATCTGAAATTTTAAGTTGTCTACTCATAGTTTCAATTTAAAATAAAGTAATTCTATAAAACTTACGAAAAAAAAAAAACAGCAACAACAACACAACATTTGATTGGACCATCCATTTTACAAACGTGATCAAAACATGACACATATTAGAATAAATTAGTATAGATCCATAATATTGCAATATGATCTAATTAATCCACTAATTAAATGTATTCACAATTATTCCTTTATTTAAATAACAATTACCCCCATGCAATTTTAGGTATCTTTAGTTGTAAAAATTGCAAATAAGTATGAAAATGGGAAAAGAAATATGCTCAATTTTTTCTCTACCCTGAAAATATTTCTCATTGCTTCAACCTGAACGCTGCCCTCCCAGTATTACTAACGAATCGGTCAAATAGTTTTTATAACTACATTAAACAAGTGTACATAACCAATATACATTTTTCTATAAATAATTCGATTGGTTTAAACGGCCAGGCATTAACAGACTTGACCAATCAAAGCATTTCTTGTGAACTTACATTAATTTAGCTTTATTGATGAAAACAAATAACCAGGATCCAATTATTCCACAGCAGAAACATTTCTCTAAATGCTAGCAATTGGTAATTAAATAGCATACATTTTAACAAGCTAATTTAGTGTATTTCCGTATTTTAAATAAGTACTTTGTAATGAAGTCACATGTCATTAGTGCTAGCCAGCGCTTGACAACCAAATCCATGCTACCAACTGCACTAAATTCAACTGACGGAACAATGAAAATCCTCAGCCTAATCAATGATCAGCAATGGGCTTGACGCATTTTCCCCTGTTAGTTGTTCATGAATTAATTCCTTTAGAAACGCCCTTCTCTTTTGATAACTGAAAATTATATTGGTGCTAATAAATGTGTGGGATACATTTGATTTAATTTGTAAACTGTAAACTCTTGACTCTAAGTCTAAGTTAAAGTTTAACTTAATGACTTAATGATTAATGTCTTTAACATTATAATTAAGCTTATTTAATTCAGAAGGTACTAACCAAATTTACCATAATAATTAAAGATAGTAATACCAATACTACTTATTATACTGATTACCGAATGAGAATGACTCACTCAGTGAGTTGTTGTTCGTCCGTCAAAATCGACTAGGACCATTTAGTCATCTGGTATTGGATGACTGATTAATGACTTGCATTGCCGTGGGTGACTTTGTTTTAAAGTGAGGAAGGGTTGCCCAGAGTCAACCTCACTCTCTTGTCCGGACCCACCGTTTCCTGTGGCAAGACTAAGTCAAGACGATCGGAGATGGGTACAGATACTGTGGATGACCAAGATGTTCTACGTGCCTCATCTTGCTCTACACACTCCACGGTGCGTTGCTGTAATCGCCAACTCCTCCGTTGAACCTAAATGGTCTCCTCCGCAGGATCCGTCAACATCCAGGTTTCCACATGCAGTAGGTAGGCAGTCCTAAATCGCAGATGGTTTGAGGCCCCTCACCTGGTTTACTCGGCAAGTGGAAGCCATTGCCCAGGGTATTGCTGCTGTTACATGCTAACAGCTGCGGGGATGCACAAGTGAGAGTTGAGTGACAGGAGAGGACTAAGGCGGATGAACTTCTCTTAGGAGCACGAAGTTTTCCCCTATCGGAGGAACTACCTCTTCCTGTACACACCTTTATAAAAATGGAAAAATACGTAACCGAAATAAAATTCCAGGCCAGAAACTTTAGTATATTTTCCACTTAAATGACTATTTCCTACCACTATTTTTTGTTGAAATTAAGAATTCCTTCCTTTTGTGTATTATTATACCGCCATCTTGTCGTAGCAGGAAGTTATCCTTTGCATAGTGATAATGGAGATTTTGTTAATGAAATGTTGTTGAAGGAAAAAATATGTATCTTAAACAAAGATTCTGATCCTATCCAGATTCTTAAGCATATTTTCACTCAGAAAGGACTATTTCCTAAACTTAATTTTTAGTGAAATCCATGGTTCTTTTTGTTTTTTTCCGCCATCTTGTTGCAGCCGGAAGTGAGTGAGTAAGAGTGAGGAGCACTACTCAATACTGATTACTGATTTGGTTTGGGATGGTAGGAAAGTGCCTACCAATAATGAATAAATGAAACTGAATAACTATCCCTATACTATACCCTTAATCTAAATCGCATGCGGCAAAGGCCTAATACATAGTAATACTACATAAACTTATCATTATTTCTCTTTTGTTAGAATTGGAAGTTGTAGTCGTAAGAATAAAAGTTCAATAAACTTTAAATTGCAGGCTGGCTAGTGATTGGGTTTCTCCCTTTTGAAAATTATATTTAGTTTAGCAATTTTTCAATTTAATTTAATAATCATCAATGAGCAGTTTGTAGCATGCTTAGGGCAGGTAGGTTATTCTAATTTAGCCAGCATATGAATATGAACACAACATCTACACAGTCTGTTATAGTATAAGTTAAAATATTAAAACCCTCACAAATAGTAGCTTGACGAACACTTTGGTCATTCTTATTTTAAAAACAGGAGGTGGCCGCCATTCAGAATTATTTACTCCAGCTTCATTGCCTTAACCCAAATCATCTGTCCTCTCCCCACAATCTGCCCTACCCCTACATTGTGCACTCTCCCGACATTCTGCCCTTACCTTTTTCCACCACCTACCTTGAATCTAATCAAAATAATAATTATTTTATTTTACAAGCTTATTGTGGAGCTTCACTAATTTAACAAATGATAAATTTAATTTTAGCAAAATTAGGAAAAAAAATAAGGGAAGTAATGAATATGTTGTTATAGTCCTCTTGTAGCTCTGACACTGGAAACTATTCAATAGTTAGAAAGTAAAAATATTTGATTTAAAGATAGTTGAATTTGATAATACTACTTTTTATTGTTACAGATGTCATTGGCCTGTGCTGTGCAAAAACTTCTGCTGCCTCTGACCACATGGATACAGGCAACAGTCATGGGAAAAGACGGTATTATAAGCATAAGGATTGAGCTGAGTAAGAGTCACATTGGGTAATAATATTATATCAAATTTTATTTTATTGCTGTTTGGAAAATTGAATAACAATCATGGATAATCTAGCTCCATCTGTAACTTAATTAAAAGCTATGTTAAATGAACATTTTCATAGTATGTCTGGATCACAAACATTGGCAATTCTATGCAAATTGTTTTGTGTAAATGGGTCTTAACTCTTGAAAGGCTTGGGCTTTAGATAATGTAATTAGAAATTTCTTAAGATGGCCGAAACATGATTAAGTGCATGTGGACTTTTAATTTAAATGTACTTAAAAACATTTTTTTATAACCCATGGACAGTATGCATCTTGCGTTGTAACTTGCTCACAAATCGGTTTTCTCTTTAAGATGATCAGTATATAAATGTTATGGATTTTTTTTATCACAGTTATTTGACAAGGACCGCAAACTGATTGCCAGTTGTCCCTAGCTGCCATGCAGCGGCGCCGCATACGAAAGCCAAACTACACTCACCAGGAGACAATGATCCTTCTAGAACAGCTTGACCTCTATAAAAATGTGATATTTGGTGGCGGGACCATCAATCAGCGAGCAACAGTTTGGACCACAATAACAGATGCTGTCAATTCACTTCCAAACAGTGCTGGACGGACAAGAAAAGTAATTAATGTTTAAATTTCACAGCGCTGTCATCCTGTTTATACATTTGTTAATTACCTACTTATGGACCTTTGGTAATTTAAGGAAGGCAACATACTAAAAAAAGTTTAGGTATTTTTATCAGTGTTCATTTAAATTTTAGATTTGTAAAATCGGGCAGTAGTTTCATTTGTGGCTACCAGCATTTCTAGCCATCCAGCATGTTAATGTTTTCACATTTTTTTTATATTCAGGAGTTGCAGCATCGCTGGAAAGATTTGTCACATCGCATGCGACTCTTGGAGAAAAAGTTTGAGGAGTCCAACTCTAAAGATGGTGCTAATGTTTCTCCCTACTATGAGCTGGTCATGAAAATTCTGCATGGGAAAACAGAACTCTTTAACTTTTCTGTAAACTCTCCCCACGGCAGTCTTCACTCACCCACAGGGCTACCAGTACAGCCAGATGATGGCCACACTGACTGGACACCCTCGTCTGAGATTGATATCAAGCCAGATAAAAATCTCCTGAATGCCATGCTGCAAAGCCCTCCTAGACCAGTGGGCAATGGGTGCATTTTGGCGGCACACACTGTTACCAAACAAACCAAATCAGTTAAGTCAAAAGTAAAAAATGGTTTCCCAGAAAAGCAGAGAAATATATATGAGGAAGAAGTTATATCACCTGATAAAGACACTTCACTGAGTCATGAACAAATCCTTCCAAAAAATAAAACAAAATACAGCCCCAAGAAATCAAATAATAGATTTTCACATAGAAAAACTCCAGAGCCATTGGTGAAAAACTGTGACTTATCTCCTGAAAACTATAACTCCTTACAACATCCAGTGTCAGTAGCTTCCCATGAAGTAGCCACAACATCGCTGTTGTCGGCCGTGTCTCAGTCACCGTGTCCGTACAGGAGTCTCTCAATGAGATTGGATCCGTACACCCAGGAGGTCCTGCAAATGGATCAAGTGGACTCAGATTCTGGGACTGAAGATGAACATTTCCACCACAGGAAGTGGACTAATCTTGAGGGAGGATGGAAAAATAGGCTTTCTCATACGGAGAATGGAGGAAGATGTTTGTAAAATATTTTATTCTGTTTTTTTTTTCCTTTTTAAATTAATGAAATTTACATTATAATTTTGTAAATAGACTTCCTTAAAAGGCAATGTTTTTTTTATCTGGCATGTCCTGGTGAGTCAGGAATGTTTTTTCTTCTTTTTTTTTGTTGAAAGACAAAATACAATTACTTTTAAGATATAAATCATAATTTTCAGCATTAATTAAGAAATGATTCACATTCAGACTTTAAAGAACTCTGTCTTTATGAACACTCAACAAATTTTGGAACAACTATAATAAATAATATGATACATAGAACCATGGCTTGGGCAGACATGTGAAAAAAAATGACTATCAAGTTCTGGCAGTATACTGTTTACACTGAATAACATTCATATTTACTGAGAGCTTTTCTCACTTGACAAAAATAAATTTGATTTCTTATAAAAGTTAGTGCTTAAATTAAATTAATTTATAAGTTTATATTTGTTCATCACTGAAATTTGTGTATTTTTATTTCAGCCGGAGAAGAGTCGCCCCTTACTGTACCAGAAATTAATCCATCTTCTAAAAAGCGCAAATGGTCAGGAGAAGAAAACAGACTTCAGTCCATGTCACTCCAGGAACTCAAAAAAATGTATTTCATTAAAAAAATTGAAATGGTCTCACAAAGGACCAGGTGTTTACAACTGATGGAGGAGAAGCTGGAATTTGAGCTACTGCAACTAAGGCAGCAACCCTCTGCAGCTAGCAGTCAACGTTCTTCTATGTGTGCAGGACATGAAGAGTGTCAGCAGATTGGTGGCAAGGAGGATAAGGTGGATGGTGTTGATGTCGAGGATAACAACAAGTGCTGTAATTCTCATGAAATTGAAGAGAGGAATCCTGCTGATATAATCAAATCTTCACTGCATTGCGATAACGATGAGAAAACTAGTCATGTACATGATCAACTGTGTAGTGCAAGCAATTGATTTTAATCAGGGATTGTGTCACTATGATAAATATTAGATGTTCCAGCCTGGTTATTTTTTTTAGTTTTTTTTTGTTGGTTTTAACAGGAAGGATGGTCATTACTAGGTTTGCCAGTGCTTACATTTTCCCTATAAACTTTGTTACCGGTATATAAATATTTTTAATGGCTTAATAATTGAAAAGGCTTTTTGGGGTATTTTGAAAAATATATAATTATATTTGTTGAAGAAATATTCAGTTTTGTTTTTTTTGTAAATATAAAAAAAAACCTTGCAACCCTATTTGTTACATAAATTGAAATTTTTTAAGATCTACATTGTTCATTAAGGCATAAACATATTTAATGTGTACAAGCTCTTTTTGGACATTTAAATGATAAAATTAGCAAATAAAGGACATTTCTTTAGAATTGAAAGACTTTGGAGCTGCAACTATTAAACAAAATTCCTTTAAAAATTAATTTAACACTTGTAATGTTTACATGGTGAAGACAATTGGTAAATTTTGACATGAAATGGAAAAATACACCACATAAGTATGGCAGTGCTTAATAAAAGAATACCATGTCCTAGTGGAGCAAGAAAAATTAAATGTAAAAATAGAATTATACTGCATGGAATATTGCAGGGAATAATTTTTTTTAGCGGACTTGGTCAGGTCAATTTAGTTGTTCAGTTGATTCAAGTTTCCAGCCTTTTTTGGGGGACCATATGACTTACAATTTCTGTCTCTAGCAAAAGTTGTCATGATTGTATTTATTAGATTGATATTTTTATAAAACTCTGAAACATATTCATGTCAATTAAATGTTGCCATTTTATTATTTATTTTTTTAATGGACACAGCTAACTATCAAATGACCAATGTCATGGTAACATGAAATGAAGCTTGTCAGGCTTGACCCATGTCATGGTAACATGAAATGAAGCTTGTCAGGCTTGACCCATGTCATAGTAACATCATATGAAGCTTGTCAGTCTTGACCCATGTCATGGTAACATCATATGAAGCTTGTCAGTCTTGACCCATGTCATGGTAACATCATATGAAGCTTGTCAGGCTTTACCCATGTCATGGTAACATCATATAAAGCTTGTCAGGCTTGACCCATGTCATGGTAACATCATATGAAGCTTGTCAGGCTTGACCCATGTCATGGTAACATATGAAGCTTGTCAGGCTTGACCCATGTCATGGTAACATCATATGAAGCTTTTCAGGCTTGACCCATGTCATGGTAACATCATATGAAGCTTGTCAGGCTTGACCCATGTCATTGTAATATCATATGAAGCTTGTCAGGCTTGACCCATGTCATGGTAATTGGTCTCAAAACCAGAGCCTCATCACCCAGATGAGGACTGGACAATGGCGACACGCAGCTACCTCCACCAACTAGATGACCGAAGGGAACCAGACTGCCGATTCTGTGGCGAGGCAGAAGAAACAGTGGCTCACTTGGTCATCACATGTCCTAGTGGGGGGACGGGGGCAAACGGGCGAGACCCGGAGGCCTGCCTTGAATAAATGATTTACGGTGATGCCCATCAGATGAGGCTCGCCGCCAAGTTTAGTAGCCAGGGCTCTAAGAGACTAAGTCTCAGCCCAACAGAGTATTGACATGGTAATTGGTAATTAAAAGGTGGAAAAAATTTGTTTTCTCATTTTATATTTTAAAGTGAATTATGTGTTTACAGACATTGTTCCTATTATTTGACATTATTATTACCGCAAATCATTTTGATTGTAAGAAGGAAATGACTGCTTGCTGCTTTATCAGTTACATTTCTGTCATTCATGGGTTTCATAATGATATGTGGCTTTACAATGTCATTTTGCAACCCCAAAAGAGTGTAAGCATTTCTTGTAACTATGAATTGTGCTTTGTCTTTATGTTATAGATGCATCACCTTTAAATGACATATTCCAGTTTGAACTGATTTAATTACTGATGTCAATTACGTGAGCAAGTGTCGTCTGCAACTATAGCTAATCCCTAGTCGTCATTTTGGTTTTAATAAAAGTTGCATTTTTATATTTGAATCAAGTCATCATTTTTTAATTCTTTTTTTTTTGAGGCAGCATTTGATATTTTTTTAAAATGAATTGTTAATTTCCTTTCAGCAATAAAATGCTTTTAAATGTCATTTAATTAAATTTTATCTCTATATTATAATGGATTGAGTTTAACTTCTTCAATAAGTTGTAAAAAAATCAAACCATTTGGAATGTATAATTTTAAACAAAAAAGGTTCATTAAAATGATACAACTACACCATCTGCCAAGCGTTAAATCTAATGTAACACTAGATGTAATTGGCAGTGGGCAAATATCTAGAGGTAATTCAGATAATCAGCATATATAGTGATACCATCATCAAAGAACATTTAAGCACTGGCTCAGAATGAGATCAGTTATTGTAATGTCTCTAGTACAAGCCGTATCTCTCTGGTACTGGTACAAGTTGCATCTTTTGAAGAAGTTTCATCTCTGGTACATGTTGTATCTATGGAACAAGTTTTTTCTCTGGTACAATTTGTATTGATTAATCAATATATTTAATGCTTCTTTCTTCTTCTTCTATATCTTAAGGGCCCACGATCAATTTATTGATCATTTTGATCTTTCTTGAGCTCTTTGTTGATGTTTGACCTCTTTGAACTGACATGTCAATGATTAATTGATTTCATGTAGACATTTGTTTGAATTACCTTTTTGGTGATCTGTTCATCATTTAAATTGGCTATGATTGTTTAAAATCTTGTGCAATATAATCTGGGCTTTTGAAACTTTTCTTAACCAGTCTTTTAAATTGTACAGAATATTTCTTCCAAACCATAACTGTTCCATTTTTATATACATTTTTATTTAATTTGTATTTGTTTTAAAACCAAAATAAGAAAAGAAGTTTGTTATTTGTATTGTGTTGACAGTTTGACAGACTGTAGGCAATATCAGTATTGACCTTTTTGTTATTGTCTTATTACATGATTCAGATCTGATGTTATCATTTTTTTTATTTATCAGAGTTGGTCATTCTTATTGGACTGAAAGTGGGTTTAAAAAAAAATAATAATAATTATCAGAACCAAATAATTTTGAAACATATTCTCAGCCATTGAGATAGAAACATAAAACTTGCCATAAATGTATTCCCAGGTGGAATGTAAGAGATTAATCTAATTTTAGCTGTTGTAATTCTTGTGGATAGGTAAAGTGGGGTCGGAGGGGGGGGGGGTATTGTTAAATATTAATATGACCAAAAAATAGAGATTTTAAAATCAGCCTTATGGTTTATATCATTGAGTGGGGCAGCTGCCATTTTTTGTTCTTCTAAATAATTTGAAATACTAGTGGCCACCAGTGTTGTTTACCAGTGGCTACCAGTCTTATTTGTTTACTAGTGGCTACCGGTGTTTAGAGACCGACCGAAAGTGATTTTCTGATTTCGGCCGAAGCCGAAAATAGGCCGAAAGTTTAAAATGACTTTCGGCCGAAACCGAAAAAGGCCGAAGGTTTAAAAATGACTTTCGGCCGAAACCGAAAAAAGGCCGAATATTAAAAATGAATTTCGGCCGAAACCGAAGCCGAAACCGAAAATGTAATATTAAGTTATTTTGAAATTCGATCTCGCATACATCTGCATACATCGAAAATGATGAGGGAAAGTATAAATATTTACATTCTTTTTATAAAAAATGAGATAATCGTGAATATTAATAAATAAACATCTAAAATAGGGGTCTCAAACTCGCGGCCCGCAAGCCATTTGTGACCCGCAAGACGATATTTTT